TGTGAAATATCTAAGCCAGTCTTGGGCTTCCATGAAGTAAACTTAATTTTCTTGTTAATGCTTTAAACAAGAGCCTACATTTGGAAGTGGCAAGCCAGTCTCTCTGTCATGATGGATAAAGCCACTGACCTATTTGGAATTTGTTTTGAGAGTTATTCTCTTTTGAATCCTTAAGACATGGAATTATATTTCACTGCAATGTGATGTGTCACTGATCATTGTAGGAAGTTGTTTTTGCTTTCCTCTAGGCCTGGAATCATTATTAAGTATTCTACCTATTATTCTGATATTTATCAAGTAATTAAACTGTATTTGTTTAAATATAGGCACATATGTATATATCTTAAAGCGATATGAGAAAAATTGAAGGTTCTGTATAACATTCAGAACATTAATATAGCAACAAAGAACTATTTGCTATGTAAAGATATGGTGGAATCCTGGGCAGAGAATGTTGTCATGCTACCTCTGTGTGTGTCGTAATCCAAGCTTCTCTGTTCACTGTTGTGGTAGACGGTCCAACTGGCTAGCAAATTGCCACTGCTCTGCATTGCACTCATATGGCAGTTATAAGCATAACCCCCACCTTCAGGTTTCACTCCAGCTTAACAATGTTAGCTCTGTCAGCACTGTTGGAATTGTTAGCAGTGTTTGTGCTGTTAGCACCGTTGGCTACTAGCCACGCTTAAGCCACCTCCATGTTGAGAACCATATGCAGGCTTTCCTGGCTCAGACTTTTTTCTTGTGCAAAAGCATGAGTAAATGTATTACATTTTCATTTAGGTACAACTGCAGTAAATAACCCTCTTGCTGTGAGGTGACAATGCTAACCACTGCACCACTGTGCTGCTCCCCCAGGGGTGGGGGGTGGTTTGAACCCCATAGTGTGGGAGCTCTTCTGCATAGAGTTTGCATGTTCTCCGGTGTCAGTATGGGTGTTCTCCAGGTACTCCGGCTACCTCCCACAATCCAAAGACATGCAAGTTAGGTTAATTGGTGACTCTAAACTGGCCATAGGTGTGAATATGAGTGTGAATGGTTGTCTGTCCCTATGTGTCAGCCCCGTAATAGTCTGGTGACCTGTCCAGGGTGTACCCTGCCTCTCGCCCATTGTCAGCTGGGATAGGCTCCAGCCCCCCTGCGCCCCCTAACAGGATAACTGGTTACATAAAATGAATGAATGAATGAACGAATGGATGAGGTAAATAATAATCAGTGTGGTTTCAGTTCCATATGCCATTATCGATATGCCACCAGCAGATTTTAAAATACCATAAAACTTCAATTAATAGCCCGGGCTATTATTTGCTTAAATCACTGGACTCAACAGGCCTAAATTTGGGACAGGCGTCTATATGGGATTTGATCTGAGGACCCTTATGGACTAAAGGAATGTGACTAACTTGAAGGGTTATCGAGGAATGGACACATAATTTGAGGTAGCCAACAACCAAGTTTTATACATCGGAAGAACTTCTATAAAAAATTAAAAGACCTGCCTGGCAACCAGACCAGGTGTTTATTTGTCAAAAATTTTAGCCACAGCAAGCTAGTAAAAGTTTTATGGTAAGATACATTTAATAATTTTAATAACTCAAGGCAGGGCCTCTTTGAGCCATTTCAGTGATGTTTGGTGGACATTTAGAGAAGCCCCATACTTCAGTTATGACATTGTGATTTACAACAATTTAATTGTAAAAAAATATTATAAAAGTAACCAAGCACAGAGATTAAGTGACAACTGCATACCCAAGTGCCAAATGAGGTACTGCAACAGTAGGCCTACCCCGTATGGCACTTGAAATCTCCAAAAATGTGTCCACACATCTGTGAAGTTTGCATCATAAATCTTAACAGCATAGATAAAAATACACAGCACTAAATCACCATTATAAAGCTGCAAGAGACTAATAGATTTACTGATACTGATATTACAGTTGCTCAACTTTTATTAATATCGCATGTTGACAGTTACAGTTTTCAAAACTCAGCCCATTTCCATTAAGCTGGCTACCTTTATCTTTTTTTTTCCTCTCCATATTGGTCCACATTTCCCAAAAACAGATTTTCTGGGTGGGCAAGATGCTGTTTTAGTATGCTTGGGGAGCAGAACAACATTGATAACTTCGCCAGTCACAGTCAGAGAATGAGTGGCAATGAATTAAAAAAGACACAGCTGTTGTCAGTCACCTGTGAATTTATTTTGAAAGATGGCATCATAAAATAACGATCCGATCAGTCCTGCAGCCTGAGAATGACTTTAACAAGTAGTATTTATTTTACAGTGCATGATCAGAGAAAGCAGGTGGGCAGAATGAGGGGCTTAATGAGCTGAGACAATAAAAAAATTAAGGCAGCTTATTGTGAGTGTTGTCTAATTTACAAGCCAGCATAATATCTTCCAGAGCTGATGCTTTTTTCATGCCACTTGCTCTCCACTAAAGTTAGGTAAAAGTTGTGCCTTTTTTTTTTTTGAACTTTTTCCTTATCTTTGTAGACCAAATACATACCCAGTGTGCAACAGCTTTCTTACTTTAAGCGGTGAACAGTAATACATGTCAAAAGTGCACAGTTACAGACAATGTGTCTCATTCCTTTAAGACGATATGACACTGAAACATGCACTTTCTGTACCTTTCTAGAAAATGAATCAATAGGCTAAGCCGCACAAGGCCAGGGGACTTTTGAGCCGCGAAAAAGCAACCTGTACTGCTGTCTGCCACATATACAGATGTCTTTCCTTTGACAGCTTGAACCATAACTGACATATTGCTTCCATTATAGGCAATATATTTTTCTCTGGGCACTCTCATACAAGTTTTGTTTGGAAAGAGGAACTTGGCACAGAAAGAGGAAATAAAAAGATGGGAACATATGCTCCACTTGGTTCACTCTTCTATCAGCATGCAATGCTTAATCCAATGCAAATCTAATTTGAAATGTATTCCACCAATGACAGATCAGCAAAAAATGTTCTCTAATCATGATAATGCTTGAATCAGATGCAAGGGCTCCCCTGCCAACACACATGCTTAGGTCATGTCCCCAATGGCTTAACTACTGGACCAAAATATTGGAAATGTTGCACAATGCTTTTAACGCAATTATTAATTTTGAAGCAACAATTATTCACAAGCCATTTACAACGATTTGGGCATTCTCTATGATAAGAAATCTTTGTGTCACATTGCAATGGGCCTAAGCTTTTACTGCTTAAGAGGGCGAGAGGTCTTTAATGCTTCATCTCCTAAATTATAAAGTTGGATTTAGTAGTTGCTCAACCTTGTCAAGCTTGTTGAATATTAAGTTTGTTCTCTCTAAAAACTTTAAATGCATTTTGGAAACATGAAAAAATAACATCTTTAAAAGGTATTATCATATTATATATAGATTGTTTATTTAACTCACTTTCTGTCTTTTATTTTAAAAAACAAAATAGTATAAATTAAGCAATATTCTCAGCCCCTTGCACTCTACATATCTTAACATTCTGAACCTAGCCTACTTATTGAATTAAACTCAACTGATGGATTGATTAGGTTCATTTTGTCTTCTTTTTAAAATTATTCAATATTTTCAGACAAAAAGTATAGGAGATGTTTCTTTTACCTACTTGACAGTTTTGACTGTGACTCCAGTCTTCCTCAGAAGTGTCATCCGACGTGTTGCTGACGTGTCATTTATCAGCTGGCTGTTCTCCCGCTTCCTGATTTCGATTCAACATCAGGAAGCGGGCGAGCGGCACCATCAAACGGGACGAGGGGGCATACACTCTCTTGCACACCTGGGATTCCCTCCACCAGAGACCATCCAACGGTGGGGGGTGTGGCCGGCCCAGCAGATTCTGATAGGTCAGTTGGGCTGGCCAGCTGATAAACGACACGTCAGCAACACGTTGGCTCAACTGCTGTGATATAGTCCTGATAAACTTAAGATTTAATGTTATATTTAAACTACTTTTGTTTAGCTGCATAACTTTGCTGGCTGTTTGTTCCACCTTCTTAACTTTTGGCAAACAGAGGTGCCCAATGTTATGCCTCTGTGACAGCTACAGCCATGGCCGGAAGGCATTCTGTTTGCAGTATGTCCATCCATCTGTTTGTCCTGTTCTCAGGACAGGATATCTTACGAATGCCTTGAGGGAATTTCTTTTAATTTAGCACAAATGTCCACTTGGACTCAAGAATGAACTGTTCAGATTTTGGTTGTCAAAGGTCAAGGTCACTGTGACCTCAAAAATCACATTTTTGACAATAATGCACAAATTTATGTGCTTATTATGACCATATGTCACACAAGTGTGTAATGGGATAAAATGATGAAGTGATTACATTTTATATCCAAAAGATCAAAGGTCAAGTTCACTGTGACATCATAATATTCTGCAAAAACACTTTTCTGACCATTATTACTCGGGAACAGAAGAGGAGATTGTGACCAATTTTTCATTTGTTTGGATACTTAATGGGTGACACTAATCTTGGGTGCCTGGTACCCACATTGAAATTGTGCTGATTGTATAGGACTAATGTGCTGCTGGTTTAAAAGTCTGTGTGATGCATCAACCAAAAAATACACTTACCTTTTAGAAAATACTTAAGGCTGCACTATATGGGTCTCGACAGACATGGATGTAAACTGCAACTCGACTGATTAGGCATACTGTATTTCTAGTTTGATATTTTGATACCAAAATGCTGATGCAGAATCCCTAAGCACACATGTGTCTCTTTACAGGCAGAACTTTCTTCAGCAAGGCAAGAGTGTAGCAGTTCACTGAGATCCACTTGATGTGTTTGGAAATGTCAGTGCAAATTCAGGCATTGCGTCCACTTTATTAACCTTTTCACAGCTAAGGAACAGTTTCTTTTTTTGGGGTGAATATAGCCATTGTCGTGAAAGGGTAGCCTCTAATGTGCTGCCTGCCTCTCCGATTCTTTCCGGTCGCGTCTTTCCCCTCCTTTTCCATGTATTATTCAAGTTGCGACCAAAGAGCTCTGCCGGTTGAGACTGAGTGCTTGTTGACGTCAGCAAACTTATCCAGCAGCTGTAGAGGAGCTGAGGAGGAGGAGGAGGAGGAGAGGGACTGAGACTGCTGGATGTGGAGCTCTGACTGTGGAGCGCCGAGGACCGTGGGCTTTTTTTTTTCTTCGGGACTGTTCGGACTTCTTCTCGCTCCAGTGTAAGTAAAGGCGGTCTCCTTCTTTTCCCTCCCTGTGTGTGAGAGCTGAGATCCCCCCACTGCTGTGTGGAGTTAGCTGTCGAGTTTCCCCACTGCTGGGAACAAGCTTTTGTGTACTGGTGCTCACAGTCGCCCCAGCGATATGTTGTCTGCCACCAAAACTCGAAGTTGACATTGTTTCTGTGGACTATTCAGCATATGTTTCCATGTTGGGTTTGGTCACTAACATATGCTGCACTTGTGTTTCCGTATTAAATAGATCCTGACCTAACGGGAAACTTTGTTGCGCAAGTCCGTGCAAGGTGGACTCCGAGCTAACGTCGAGTTTGCCTCTTTTTCTCCGTCGAAAATCTAATGCTAGTTGTCACTTTGAAGTGAAAACACGGTTAATATCCGCGTGTCATCTCTTAATTTTGACCCTGTTGTTGAGAGTTCGCTTTTTGGGGCAAAAACTGGTGCCGTCATTTGTCTCTGCGGTGACGTTAGAGGTTGTGTCATTGTAGTTAATGATGGAGGTACATGTTGGGACACTATAAGAAATGTCTTCAATCTTACACCGTATCTAAAAATAAACGAGAAAGCACGACTCAGGTTAAGTTGCTGCACCTCAAACACATCTATTCTTAGGCAGAGACACAACATAAAATCTCCTCTAAAGCTCTGAGTTTTGCTTAATTTGTTGTGAGTGTGTATAACCTCCATATGGGTGATGCATAGTGTGTGTGTGTAACGTGGGCAAAGACTTTGGATGCTGAGTGCAACCTTCAAAATGATCCAGGATCTATTAAATGGCATTTACCTTTCATCTCCACCATTATGTGTTTGGGAGATATTAATAACTGAAGTAATGGATACACCCATTACTTTGATGATGGATAAGCATCTGACTGTGTAAGTAGTACTTCTGGTTTCTGTTCCACAGTTCTCATTTCATGGCTGAGGAGTCACCATTTTCTGTGGTTGTGAAATAGAGGTTTGTCGGGAGACTTGTTGAAGTCAGCAATAACCATTGTTTCACAAATGTTCAGTCTCTGGTGTGCCTTTTAACAGGTTGATGGTGTAACATCCACTGAACAAGCTCTTGGTGTTTTGCAGCCACTGGTAGGAGTAATTGAATAGCGGCTCTCCAACTGGCTCACAATGTATGCTGTGAGAATCAGCATGTATTAGCCTTGAGGCTTCTATACAAATTGCAGTTCAGGACAGAGTTTTTTCATGTTCCTAGTACTCTGCCAAGAGTGGAGCAAGGTGGTCACGGAGATCTGATTTCAAGCAGAGTTAAATAAAGGTCATGTAAATTAAATGATAAAGTCTTACTCAGCTGCAACAGCCTTGGCCGCCACCTTGTGTTTTACTGTGTTGGATGAGTTTTGTGCTCAGCACAGATCAGCATATGCCGGCAGTGTGATGTTGTCTTTTGTAAACAAGTCTGCTGTCATTTGTGTTAAAATGCTGTAAATCCTGGTGCATTTCAAATGAAATGTACTGCCTCAGTTATTGTAGAGCTGAACAGTGCCCCAAATCCTAAAATTAGTAATTGCTGGCAATATTCTGTAAAGATCCCCTGCAAAACGCCTGTAACTCACTGCTGTTTTAGAATATGATAAACACCAACAATACAGATTTAGGTTTCCTGGGAGACATTACTGTAAAATGAAATAACAGTTGTACAGGCAGATAGAAAATGAGATGTTCTCAGTTGATTTCAGGTCCCCCAGGATTAGAATTACTGTTAACCCTTTGAATTCTCAGATGTTTTTCTTACAGGCTTTTGGCACAGTCACTACATGTCTTAGGTAGGCATCTCATTTGCTGCCATTTTAAGCCGTCAGTGTCATCATTGGCACTGTATGTGTAATAGCAGATATTTTCTATGAAAATGAGGAAGCCTCAATTTGAAATGATTTTGTTTTTTTGCCTCATGTCCAAAACTTTTCCACACATTGTAAAATGTCTGCATATGAATGGATAGAGTATGTCAGTGTTCAGGGGAGCTTCATTCAAGTGAGCCGATCAAATTGATTGTCGAGCCGGCGTAGACAGTCTGTTAGAGAGAACAACAATGCAAGAAGAGATGTGTGAGAGATGACAGCATGAAGCATGAAGCAACCGGCCCTACTACTTTATGGCTACAGACTGTCTGAGACTGTTTTCCATGGTTATAAGTTGATTTATATTATGTATTACTAATCTGAATCTGCAAAGTAACTAGTAAATAATGTAGCCGTCGTCAAATGCTTCAAATTAAATCCGTTCTGAGCTCCGAAGCTTTGAATGTCCATAAATGGGTTCGAAGGTCAGCCCTAATGTTAGGGCTGTACCGAATACTTTGAAGCTTCATTCATAATGTTGACCTTCAAATTCTTAATTGACATTTGAATCCTGCACAGCTTTTTTTGCATGTCTATTCATTCTCTTTAAACATGATATTCCTGCACAATTGCAGAAAAAAGATAAGGCTGCATTGGTATCATAGTATTTGTTGAATTTGACTCCAGTGGATTGCTTCTGACTTGTGTGATCCAAACATTTCTATAAACTCCAGAGCGCTTTAAAGTCCCAAATTAAAAATTTATTGAAAAAAGATGTAACCGTTTCCAAAACTCACAGCAGGTTTCTAACAAAATATTCTGCTACAGTCCATACTTGGCTGCATTTAGCCTTTCAAAAACAACATTTTCACTGTGGTCAAAAAACGGTTTGCTTTTCCTCTTGCACTGGTATTAATAGGTGGTCTGTCTTACAGCATTATGAACCATAAATTACATTTAGTCATTAAAGAAAGTTGATTTAATATGAAAAGACCATCTTATTTAATCTGACGAAACACTTAATTTTAAGTGAGGAGTTTGTTGGTGGATTTTTTATTCTCTTTTAGAATGATGACATCATGACAACAGACATTCAAAGCTTAATCCTCAATAAGCTTTGAATGTAAAAAAAAATGACATTCAGTGCAGCCTTAAAATATAGTGATGTAGAATGTACAATATTGGCTTTCAAAATGTTGTGAAGTAGCAGTACAGCAGAAAATGGAAATACTCAAGTAAAGTACGAGTATCTCAAGATTGTACGTAAGTAAATTGGTTGAGCAAATGTACTCAGTTACTTTCCACCACTGTAAATGATATGAAAATGTAGGTGGTTGGCGATAGCATGCAATTTAGACATTGCGAGGTATGAGCCATTTTAGTAGTATCCTCTTTGAATTTTAATTTAGTACTGTGAACAAACACCCAAAGCTAGAGAGCATTTTTGTCACTCCTTCTGTTTGTTCTTGTGAAAGGGATATGCTTTGGGTGATGTAATCAGGAAATCTAAGGTTGGCATGGACTGAGCTTTTTATTTGCCTTTATTACTTTACATTTTGGTCACACAGCAACATGGGAAGTCATGGTGATACTTTTATTTTGTATTACGATGTAGTCATAAATGTAAAATCATCAGGATCACGTTTTTGATTCTAATCAGATTTTTTTTTTTTTGCAAATTTAAGGACTTTATCTTCAGTGAACATCAGAGCAAGTACTGTGATTCCAGTATTGCATGTATGACATCTGTGTGTTCTGATCTGATCAAATTATGACCCTGAGATGGACGAGTGTGGGTTTAAAATGCAACAGGTTGAGAGGGTTAAATACATACGTTTAATACAAGCACACATGTGGACAGACTCTGACTGTAAGTTACCTGTAGCAGGACTGCTGCCAGGAAATCTGTTAGTGGAGGTGGTGAGCACAATCAATCACCTGCTGAGCTGAATTATACATATCCTGACACGTCTCATCATCAGTGTAGCTACTAGATGACAGTTTAAAATGTAGCCTCAGTCATTGAACGTGTTGCCTCTGCTGTGTAATGTAGTGCCTGTGCTTAGTTTTCCTGAAGCTTAATATTAATGATAATAATAATAAAAGTAATGATAAAAGTAATGATAAGCCAAATATTTGAGCAGAAAGGAGTAGTCGAGTAATTGATTATTAGATTGGGAAAAAAATGTGCATCTGTTTTGACGTGCTGCCCAACATTCTCTACATTCAGCCTATCGAATTGGATAATTTGCTGATTTTCTTTGTCATCAAGAATTTTAAAGATGTTTAAAGACTATTTTTGGACATTTTATGAATGTTTGTAACGGAATGGTCATAATGGCAAGATGGATGGACAAAATAATCTATAATGAATATTATAGATAACAAATTATGTTATCTATAATATTCATTATAGATTATTGAATATTATAGATAACAAATTATGTTAGTTTGCTACAGACTATCAAAAGTAATGGACGTAGTCACTGTGAAGTCACCCACTGGTTTGTGGACCCCTGTTTGACTCCTGGGTTTTGAATTTTGGCCATTGTCATCCTGAATTTTTAGAGCTAAAAGTGACCATATTTGGACAAAAGGGTGGAGCTATGGAGGAGGGAGGGGTGGATCTGACCCATAGACTGTGGTTATGCTCTCAGACAGCATGTTGCTCAAAGTGGACATGCCCTAAATAAACATAAAACAAGTAATGTTTTGATAAAGTTAAATTATTGTCATAATGAAATAAAGCGGAACCAATGGTACTTTTATTCTAAAGCATGCTGCTCATTTTGGGCCAAAAGTGTTGATGTTATGCTGTGAACTTAAAGTTTCTGATCATGAGTTAGATGTTAGCAGTTAGCAAAAAATGTTAAGGATTTAAAACGGCACCTTTAAACGTGATGATTCTTTTCACAGTGAGCAGGAAACAAAATAACAACTCTACAGTTAATATATTAATAGTATTTGCAAGTGGCACTGGTGCTCAATGGCCACAAAATGTGACTATATGGTCACAGACTGGAGCCCTGCAGGCACAAAAAAGACATGCCTCGCCTGCTCATACTAAAGTTTAGGAGAAAATGGTCTGGATGCGTCGGGGAGTGTATGTGATGTATTATGTTTTTGAGACTTTTTATTTTACTTGTGTCTGTGAGAGAGGTAGAGCCATAGGAGAGAGCAACTGAGAAC